CATGGATACTGAGTAAGGCCCGTCATCTTGGTGAACTCACCATCGAACCTACGACTAACCATAACCACTACTACTACTACTACTACTATTATTACCATTTATGATCCTTATCTGAGGTTCCCATATGACGGGTGCATGCCGGAAGGAGCCTGCATAAACCCTCTCCTTATTCCACATATCATGCTGATCCAAGAAGTCTAAGAGTCTATCCACATGGACGTAGCTATCCGTATCCGCCTTCAGGAGCAAACGGAACCTTACAGAACCAACAACTCCGTCATCGACTATACCGATGCGGGAAGTGAAAGAAGTGTGGTTTTGAGAAAATATAAGGACACACGGAGTAAGGTTCGCATTGAAGACGATAATTATCAAGGAAAGTCGATGGGAGGTAACACATATGTTGATACAACGGCGGCGTTTGCGATGTCTCGGACGTGACGATGGGAAAAAGAATCATCACTGTGAGTAGTGGTCGTAGTGCTCTCGACTGTTACTACCTGCCGAAGAGATCCACAGCCCTTTGGAAGGACAATCTAACTTTAGTTCCGAGGGCATCGTAACGGTCCTCGAACCACTCGGGGAGTTGTATAATGTCGCCTGAATGTGGTGATGTGGCGGAGGAGTGGTATGATAATGATGGTGGTGGTGGTTGGATTATTACCGAATTGCTTCATCTCCGCCATAGCTGTATCCCTAGTGGAGTTATCTGGATAATGTGCACCAACGGTAAATAGTAATTTAATGCTTCGTTGACCAGCACGGTTATTCTGATGATGATTATTACTATCATTAATACTATTGCCACTACCACTACCTGCTCATGTCCTCTCAATTGCCGAGCCCATCCATCTCTAACAGCACACCTCCTCGAGAACTCCGTAATATGGCTTGGTATTACTATAACCAAATCCCAATCATACGCCTGTCCTCCATCACCCTTTAATATGGTATTCCCTTCAAAGGCGGGCTGCTGTTGTTGCTCTTGTACAGCAACACAAAGATTGGCAAGTATTAATAGTAATAGAAGCAAACGACTATGACAACCGACGAGGCGGTCAGCCATTGTAAGGAACAAAGGAAC